TCTGTAAATAGCAAAAGGCACCACTTTAGGATCTGATTGATATATCTACCAAGTCTTGTTGAAAAATATTAAACGGTTCTTGAGTTATGCTCCGGAAACGAAACCCACCCCCTTCCTTTTGAGAATAAGTCTGAATCATTTCCATGGAAACAGAGAAAATAATACATCACAAATATCTGCAAATAGCAAAAGGCACCACTTTAGGATCTGCCTCACATATCTGCCAAGTTTTGCTGAAAGATATAGAGAATTTTTCGAGTTATGCTCGAAAAAGCGACAGCAATCCTTACTTTTGAGACTAAGTCCAAAATGTTTCCATGGAAACCAGGAAAAAATAAAATGCCAAAAATCTGTAAATAGCAAAAGGCACCACTTAAGGATCTGTTTGATATATCTACCAAGTTTTGTTGAAAAATATTAAACGGTTCTTGAGTTATGCTCGAAACGAAGCCCACCCTTCTTTAAGACTAAGTCCAAAACGCTTCCATGGAAACCGAGAAAAATAAAATGACAATAATCTGTAAATAGCAAAAGGCACCACTTTAGGTTATGTTTGACATATCTACCAATTTTGGATGAAAAAATATCTAACGGTCTTTGAGTTATGCTCGAAACAAAATGATTACGGACGGACGGACGGACGGATGGGTGCGGATCGGACGGACGGACGGACAGACGGACGAGGCGGCGACGATTATATCCCACCGCATTACATGCCGGTGGGATAAAACCTTCCATGTTTTTCATGCCATGCAATACAATGTGTATGGCAAATCGAATTTGCAAACTAAAATACACTTAAGTCCAAGTACTAGTAGCAAATTCTGAAACCAATTGTTGAAAAGGTGTCAACAAAATAACTATCCTGACACATCTGATCCCAGATCTGAGAGGGGGTGTCACATCAATCCACTGAAATCAGACTGTTCCACCAGGTGCCACCGACTGACATAACAAGAGTGTGTGTAACATTACACACTTAACATACAGTTGCCATGTTAATTGCAATACTGTGTCTAGGTTCACGGCCACACCTTCCAAGGACCAATCTGACTGTCACCCTATCTCCACCACTGCAACCTGTCTGACTATTGACATTTCTTTTATCTCCATGTCCACATCCTCACATTTGTCCACTTGTGGGATCATAATTGGGTCTACATTCCTACACTACAATTAGCACTGGGCTGAAAATGGCTGACATATTTCCGCTGTTATTTGAACTACCTTTTAGTAAAAGGGTGTGTGAAACATTTAGGGAGTACTAGCAGGAGCATTTCTCTCAGCAACATTTTTGTGACTGATCACGCTTTTATTTCATAAACTGAACTTAGTGGGAGAACAAACAGAATGTTACCAGACATGATCTCTGGATGAGTAGCTAAAGTCAGTTATTTCTAAAAATGTAATCACACTATACATGGCAGATATCTTCAAAATCCTTTTTCTGAATTACTGGCACAGGTAGGTATGAGTTATGCTCAACTTGTCTACATAAGCAATGACTGAAAAATCAAATATTACAACTTAATGAAACCAAAGTAAACATTTCAATTTCACCCTAACCTGAATATTCATATTTTATGACTTAATATAGAGGGTGTTCAATGCATGACACACAATTCATTATACTCATGTCAAAGGTTCAGAAGTATATCTCTCACAGTCCCTGAACCATACTATTTACCCTTCCACCCTGCCCTATCAGCTATGCAAAAGTCCAAATGAAGTAAGTCCAGATTTTATTCTGGGTGTAAATCTCCCATTTAACTGGGGCTCCTTTTCAATTGAGTTTTGTACTTTCATCAAAATTACATATTATCAGAGACAAAGTGTTAGGTTAAGATGCAGTCAACTTAACATTACTCAACATGAGAAGCAAGTAGTTCCTCCAGATCTTTACTCGTCACTGTAAGGACAGTGCTGTATAGCCTCTACAAGCTCCCTTCAAACCAAAAACAATTTCAACAGGACTTGAACTACAATCTTCCAAACCCTAAAAACCACCTTATTGTTTTAAGCAGATTAAACATACACACACAACCCTGTTAACAGGTATACTTAGAATTATATGACCTCTCATGACCCTGGTTTAAGATAACACACTTCATCACTTGGCAGATCATTTCTTTTCTATGGATCCCCTGTCACATCCCTGGACAGCCCACTCCCTCTTCCAGATACAGACTATCTTTGTGCCAGTGTGATGTCAGAGCAGCCTCCCTCAATAGGGTGGACAAGGCAACACTGCACAACAAACCCTGTCACATCCCTGGACAGCCACTCCCTCTTCCTGATACAGACTATCTTTGTGCCAGTGTGATGTCAGAGCAGCCTCCCTCAATAGGGTGGACAAGGCAACACTGCACAACAAACCCTGTCACATCCCTGGACAGCCACTCCCTCTTCCTGATACAGACTATCTTTTGTGCCAGTGTGATGTCAGAGCAGCCACCCTCAATAGGGTGGACACAGCAACACTGCACAACAAACCCTGTCACATCCCTGGACAGCCAGCTCCCTCTTCCAGATACAGACTATCTTTGTGCCAGTGTGATGTCAGAGCAGCCACCCTCAATAGGGTGGACACGGCAACACTGCACAACAAACCCTGTCACATCCCTGGACAGCCACTCCCTCTTCCAGATACAGACTATCTTTGTGCCAGTGTGATGTCAGAGCAGCCACCCTCAATAGGGTGGACACAGCAACACTGCACAACAAACCCTGTCACATCCCTGGACAGCCACTCCCTCTTCCTGATACAGACTATCTTTGTGCCAGTGTGATGTCAGAGCAGCCACCCTCAATAGGGTGGACACAGCAACACTGCACAACAAACCCTGTCACATCCCTGGACAGCCACTCCCTCTTCCTGATACAGACTATCTTTGTGCCAGTGTGATGTCAGAGCAGCCACCCTCAATAGGGTGGACACAGCAACACTGCACAACAAACCCTGTCACATCCCTGGACAGCCACTCCCTCTTCCTGATACAGACTATCTTTGTGCCAGTGTGATGTCAGAGCAGCCTCCCTCAATAGGGTGGACAAGGCAACACTGCACAACAAACCCTGTCACATCCCTGGACAGCCACTCCCTCTTCCTGATACAGACTATCTTTGTGCCAGTGTGATGTCAGAGCAGCCACCCTCAATAGGGTGGACAAGGCAACACTGCACAACAAACCCTGTCACATCCCTGGACAGCCACTCCCTCTTCCTGATACAGACTATCTTTGTGCCAGTGTGATGTCAGAGCAGCCTCCCTCAATAGGGTGGACAAGGCAACACTGCACAACAAACCCTGTCACATCCCTGGACAGCCACTCCCTCTTCCTGATACAGACTATCTTTGTGCCAGTGTGATGTCAGAGCAGCCTCCCTCAATAGGGTGGACAAGGCAACACTGCACAACAAACCCTGTCACATCCCTGGACAGCCACTCCCTCTTCCTGATACAGACTATCTTTGTGCCAGTGTGATGTCAGAGCAGCCTCCCTCAATAGGGTGGACAAGGCAACACTGCACAACAAACCCTGTCACATCCCTGGACAGCCACTCCCTCTTCCTGATACAGACTATCTTTGTGCCAGTGTGATGTCAGAGCAGCCTCCCTCAATAGGGTGGACAAGGCAACACTGCACAACAAACCCTGTCACATCCCTGGACAGCCACTCCCTCTTCCTGATACAGACTATCTTTGTGCCAGTGTGATGTCAGAGCAGCCTCCCTCAATAGGGTGGACAAGGCAACACTGCACAACAAACCCTGTCACATCCCTGGACAGCCACTCCCTCTTCCTGATACAGACTATCTTTGTGCCAGTGTGATGTCAGAGCAGCCTCCCTCAATAGGGTGGACAAGGCAACACTGCACAACAAACCCTGACAGATGTCATAACATCTCAAGCACCCATTACAACCTCAAAGATGAAAAAAGTCATTGATTTTGTTTCCCTTAAATGAGGAGTGCTTATTGTGAAAATATTTACATGTTTGAGAATTCAATAAACCTCTTCTAATTGACATGCCAGTGATGTACGCAGCTTTGTAGTGTAATATTTACAGATATGTTCATGCTGTTTTGATGGTAATTGCAATACATGTTAGAAAGGAATGTCAAAACATTCCATTAATCATCTGTGATTACATGCCAACATTGCACAATTATTTTGGTTCCGACTCTCTAATTCGACAATCACAACCCTATCTGTTCCTCTGATGCATGGTACCTTGTACATCAATATATCAAACAACCCATTTTGTTGTTTCAACAAATGTCAACATCATTTCATGCAAGTAATTGTTTCCGTACTACGTTTTAAACATAAAATTGAAAATGTGGAAGTTGAGATTTGCAACTCAACACAGCCACATGGGAAACTCATTCTTATGGAAAAAAACTATTCAAATAAAAATATTCAGTGCAGTTTGGACAACCTAAAGCAAACAATGCCATTCAAGCGTAACCCTCCTGACATGCAAACTCAATCTGCACTACACATTCAACTCAAAGAAAGTAAAGCAAGTTCTATTTTTTCATATAACTATACTGCAGAAGGCAAATAGGAACAGACCTCCTGCAAGGAATGCTGTCAGTCTCCCAGGGTGAGTGAGGGAATGAGCATGTGGAAAACTTGATACAAAACAACATCTTTCAGGTGAATATGTGAGGTTGCTAAATTCCTGCAAGAAGCTACATCATAACAGCCTGTATGTTTTAGTCTGGACCTGGCAAACCAATGACTGATAGCACGAGCACTAATCGATGCAAATGAGGTAAGATGAGACACTACCAGCAGTCACAGATTCTGATCACTGATCCAATTTCAGGTAACTTACAGTGAGTGAGTGAGTGAGTGAGTGAGTGAGTGAGTGAGTGAGTGAGTGAGTGAGTGAGTGAGTGAGTGAGTGAGTGAGTGAGTGAGTGAGTGAGTGAGTGAGGGACAGGTGTAACCTGCTGTATCACATCCAAGAGTGTTCCCAGGGCTTACCCACCTGTACGTCAGCCAGTAGTACAACTTGTCTGCTTCTACATATCCATTAACTTCTTTCTTCAACACCGGTTGTTTACTCTTGAAAGGTGCTGGCAGGCCCAACAGGGTGCTGGAAATATCAGAATGACCAGACCATCTTTCAGTGTTAAATGTGGAACAGTCTTAATGTTGTTTCTGCTAGTATCCTATCTGCTGCATCTGTCATTGTATTGTAAGTGTTGACAACAAATCACTTGTTTGTGATTCAGCAATCATAGAGTGATCAAACAAGTACAGAACTAACAGACACTTCTGTAGGTCTTTCCTTGAGGTTAATTTATACCCTATATTCTTGTCTCCCCCACTCTGAACAAAATCGTTGGCTACAATGTTTTTTTATTAAACAGTTTTCAACATAAGTGCAGTTGAGTTATGATCCTCATGTATTTGGACTTCAAAACCTCTTGATATTTTTACTACGAACATAAGGATTATGATAAGGACCCCGTGACTTTCATACCCAAATTTCAAACAAGGATAAACATCCTGTTAAAAATAAGTACTTCAGTATAAAATTCTTTAAGAAAATTCTGATTTGTTTGTACTCGATTAATACCACATCTAATCCACATTAAATCTCATACTGATAATAATGATAAAGTTTTCACACATCCTCTAACCCACACCCATTAAAAATCTAATCCATTAAACATTGTCATGAGAAAATATTTCAAGTTACACCCCCTAACTCGCCTCTGATGAAGTGTAACATCGTGCCATGATCAGTTTTACAAGTTTCAATGGGCACCTTTCCCCACACGTGTCTCCACGTTCCTGACTGATCTCCCCACAGCTGTGTGTAATCTACCTACAGTATCACAGTGGCCACCCCTACTACAGCCGCACCTGACAAATATATTTACTGCAGAATAATCTCAACATACAACAGCTGACATTAATCGCACATTGTTTACACTGCATAAATCTTCATCATTCTAAACATGGGCAATGTCAGCAATAACATTTGGAATTTTTTAAAATTACATAAAATTCTAAGAAATACAATGTATGCCTTACTTTAAATTTGTAACATTCAATGATTATACCTATGCCTTTTCATCTAATCTACCTACCTAACTATGTAATTACATTTTGTTTAAAAATGAGAACAGACATTCAATGTTTTAAAACATTCCATACTTTCACAACATTGAACACAACAAACAAATAATTCAATGAACCAAAAAAATGACATTTCCACAAATAACAGATCAACATTTTCTTTAACACATTTCCAGATGATTGCAAATCTCCACATAGTTTTTGACTGATAAGTCGATTAATTCAAGCTGTTTGCGATTCTGTTATCAGGGTGACTGTCGAGGTTGAGAAGCAGGTATACCAGAAGAGCTTGTTGGGATCACAGGAGCCAGGATCAGTCACGTCCACATCAAAGTGGCGGATGACAAATTGTTCAAGAGACTCCAGGGCCCGGTCGACACTCCCCTGAAGCAGATCACAGAAAGAAGGAGTTTAACCACAAGTACCCATCCATCTCCTATATGGATTACCTGTAGAGGTCCTTACATCTTCCCGAATCAGATTATGCGTCCCAGATATCGCTTATATTCAGATTATAAGCTCCTCCCATCACCATTATTTCCCCCTTATGTCTGAGGAGGAGGGTGAGACAAAAAGGGCCTCACACAACATGGCTATTGTTCTATAATCAGACAATTAGCATATCGACTGACAGATACACAGGCAACAATTGACATGCCTCCTCACATCAAAGGTGATACTGTGAACCTGGAACTGTACAATGATATATGATACTAGCATGAAAAGAAACATGAACAGCACATTAAGTGGACAAGAATCACAGACAAATATTATTGAAGATATTTTTTCAGTTAACTCATGTTTTTAATGTATCAATTTAATCTAGCTAAAATATACACTGACTGAAATTATAGAAGCTGGACTATCAATAAAGATAGGGCTGACATAGGAATTTCAATGTCTTTCCTTCAATTCAACATATTGATGCAGGTGCTGTTATATACTACCCATCAAAAGTTTAGACTCACTTAAAGCACTCACTATATATATATATATATATATATAATGTATGGTTACATCGAAGATGAATTTCGCCACTAACTTGGGGGAACCAACCCCAACCTTTATGCAGATGAATTGCACGAGGATCATGCATCAAATTGCTGGAAAGCATGTGCAAATATCGTGCACGTGAACAGCTGCGTTTTGGTGTAAAAATTTTTTAAGAATTCGCCAATTTTCACTGAGTTTCATCATTTATTGAACTCATGACAATAATTTTTTCAACATTACAAATTTGTTTTACAATACATCAGTTCATGTGCAAACAGTACCTTTAAACAGTAAGGAATATTTTGCAAAATCTAGTTTAGAACAGTTGACTGAAGTAAGTGGCTATATTTACACTAGTGAGTCTAAACTAAAGATGGGTAGTATATTTATCAAGAAATTGCTTCAAATTTATTCCAATTCTTAAATGTTAATTTCATGGGTATGAATAAATAATTTCATATTTATATTATTCTAGCTGTGTTACAGTGGGTGGACAAACAAAGGAACATTAAAACCCATGTAAGAACACTGGGTGTAGTCCTGCTACAACCACCGAACTACCCCAAAACCCCTGCAGAAATTATCAGGAAACATTTACATGCTACCATCGTTGTCATACTGCATTCATACACCTTGACCATGAAGACTGATTAGGATCTAAATCATTAAGTAAACTGTCACTAAACTATGGCGGAATGTGATAAATTGAGTCCGTGTGTAACATTCAAGGCCATAGTGACAAGAAAACTGTCACAGAACTGCCTCCCGATGATTTCCTTTCCATCATCTTAACACATACTAAAGTCATTTAATCTTCACAGGTACAAACAAGCGTGCCAATAGCTGTATATAAACCTCGAACCACCCACAGTCGTCAGCTACGGCGTCACATGGTCTCAGAATAATGTATTCCCAGTCATGACTAGCTCCTCCCGACTGACAAAACATGAAGCCTTCCAGAGTATAATTTCACCAATCCTTCACACTTTTATGACTACAGGGATTAATAGTGAAATAACAGCTCAATATACCCATCATTACCGGCAATGTCTTCTGAGGTGGATGAATGTCCGATTACAAAGTACAGACATCAAGAGATTAGGCCACATCAAAACAAATACCCTATACTTTGTATCAAATTCCAGATTATACAACACTTCATCCCTAACATTGACACTCCAAGGTGAAGACTCCAACACTATCCATGTAACAGTGCTATTAACCCTTTAACTGATTAACCAATCTCAATGGTATAGGTGTAGACCTCACAACCACAAACATAGAGAGACACAATGTGCTATTAGCTCGACAACATGACAAGCACTGCTGTGTTAACCCTTTAAGTGACAAATCATTTATTATCATATTGGTGGCTTAGAATTTTTTTTCATGACAAGATATTTCTTCACCCATTGTTTTTTTTCACTTACTATTGCTTTCACTGAGCTTTTAACAGAATAATTTGTTACATATTCATCACAAAATATTTTTTATGGATTCATTCACCATGTCCAGTGAACCTTTTATTGTAAAACCTGAAAACAAAACAACATTTTTCCTGTTTCACCGTGAACAAATCAAATCCAAGATGCCATCTCCCCCCAGCCAGAATATCAAATGGATGATTCCAAGTTATGAGTGTAAAAGGGTTAAGGTGACAGACACAGAAAAATATAAAGGAGAGCGTGTTGAATGTCAGCCTACCTGAGACAGCTCAAAGTTGGCCATATAGAAGTGCAGCTTGGCACTGAAGGGTGTGCTGACGTTGCTTCGTTGAAGATCTGAAAACATCAAACATTTTACGCAGGAGTAAATCAAGATGCCAACTTGAAGAAAAATACTTCACAACTATTTTTCACCTGCTTATGTTACAAGGCATTCATTTTTATATGCTTTATTGCATGAACTTTCTGTAAATGTCAAGAAAGAGAAATAGGATGTCTTGTTTCACAGATTTTTTAGGCCTTTCTAAACCAAGATGTATAAGAAACAACACCTCAAGCTTGTCATAAAAGACAAGTGAAATGGAGAGAATGTGTGACCAGATTAACTGTGTGTCACCATTGCTGCAGCTTGAAGTACTGGTCTGTCTGGTCCTGATCTCCAGGACAGGATGACACAGTTGCTTAGTGCCAACAATCAAGTAATACTGCTCCGGGAATACCGAGTAATGTGGTATTCCCCATGTTGTCGGAATCAAACCTGGGTCTTCAGTATGACAAGCAAACACTTTAACCACTGGACTACCCTACTACCACCCATTCACAAGAAAATCCATAACTGGACTCACTAAGAAGCTGGGCCCAAGGCACACAAAAGCACGAAAAAGAAACAAGGCATGAAAGAAAGAGGTACAAAAAGAAAGAAAGATTATGGTGAAAAGTCAAAAACATTTGCCAGTTACAATAACATCTGATAGTGTGCCTCGCCGGGAATCAAACCCAGGTCTTAGGCATGATGAGCGAATGCTTTAACCACTAGGCTACCCCACCGCCCCTCAGTGTTTGTGATTTGAGTCATGTACAGGACCCTGGAAGAGAGTGTGTGGCCCTGACTAGCATGTACAACATACATGAGGCTGTCGACTCACAGCCTAAAACCGAAACATTTGTGCCCACATTCACAGCACACAAAAAACACAACCGTCAACAAACAAATCTGACAAATATGAGAAGTATGATTCCGACCATGTTCACGTGTGTGCAAAACACTTGTCACAAATCTATCCCAGACGTTTCTCAGAGGGACGTCTCTGGTGTCAACTTAAAGCCAATGTCAACGTTTGGTGACATACGATTTAGTCTACTTCCTGCCAATGTACTGCTTCCTGTCTGTGTTGACAGTGGAAACCAGCGCCATCTGGTGTCTGGTCACGTGACCAGACCTGCACTTGTTTCTTATCACAAGTAATCATCATCACCTGCATGGTTTCCATGTCAACCAACACTGCAAGAGTGGGGCAATAGTGACTTGCATGCTGGGAGTGGAAAGTGTCAGCTGAGTCGTAATTGAGAATACATACTGGAGGATAACAAAACACACAGGAAAAGTAAGTTCAACAATATATATTTCCTTCTTGTTTCATTCTTTACATCCTTCTTATTGAAGAAACAACAAACTTTTTACAAAACAAAGATTCAACAAGAAAACAAGAATTCATGTTCGAAAAATAAGATATTCAATTTTTCAAGGTTTGAGAAATTCAGTGGGAATACAAGTAAACTTCATGTGCAAATATCCTTGAATATGCAATGCATAAGAAAATAACCTCCAAGGTCTCGCCGACACTGACAATGATAAATTGATTGATGAATGAGATGTTATCTAAAGCATTCCTTCACAATCAAACAGCAATAAATCTAGGATGAATTTATTATTCCAGGTTTTCATCTTAGAATGCTCTAGGACATCCTTTCCGTCAAGTCTATTCATAAAAATAACAGTGGTGTGTGGTCCTGTGGTAACAAGAACATTGGTCACAAATCAGTTGAAGTTAGGCAAGGTTGACCATCAAGTTCTTGGATGGGTGACCATGTTTGGCAACTTCACCCCTGAGAGCTTCTAGGACTTCATTCCTGCCCCACAACAAACCACCTGTACCACATGTGATCTCACATAGGCAAGTGACTTTGTTTAAAATTGCCTCTGTTCACCTAGCAGTGAATGGGTACCCAGTAGGATGAGATTGTTACGTGACTGTTAACCTTCTAGCACCTCACAGGCAGCTTTGGTTGTAGAGCACACTAATCTATTGACCAGTGCAATAATGTTAGTGCTTTGGGCATACATCTTGTGAATGATTGTTACACAGTATCGAGTAAGCAGGTTTAGTGCTGCTTTAAACAGCAATTTAGTATCATGCAGGATGTGTATCTGTGTGCTTTTTTTTATATTGAGCAATACTACATTACAGCACCCTGTAAATAAGAATCTGAGCTATACATGACTGATATTAGAGGCAACAGTCCATGCCGTCGGGGTAAGAGTGAGTGAGTGAGTTTATTTTTATGCTGCACTCAGTGAGTGAGTTTAGTCTTACTAAGCACTCAGCAATATTCCAGCTATATGACGGCGGTCTGTAAATAATCAAGTTTGGTGACGCAGTGATTGTCTAACATGTCAACCAAGTCAGCAAGCATGACCATCTGATCCCATTAGTCGCCTCATAAGACAAGCATGGGTTGCTGAGGATGAATTCTAACCCGGATCTTCACGGGTCTCGGGGTAAGATGACAAAACAGAAGCCATCTTACCGAAGTCTGACCACCTGATCCAACAAGACATGACCCCATCAGTTACTGGGGATGAGTTCTAACACGAATCCCTGTGGTGATCATGTGGGACGAAGGTGGAATGGATGGCTAAGGAATCATGGTGTCTGGGACTTAATTGACATTATGTATGACAACTTACATGTCTAGTTCCTTCCACTTCCTTGCACGCAGCGTACAGGTCACCTGCCACCAGCCAGATGTCAACCAGGTCTGGGTTCAACTCCAAGATTTTACGACAAGTAGAGCAGGCATCCTCCCATCTACAATCACAAGAAAACTCTTGAACACACTTGAACATTCCAGTTGTGATGATTCAGCAACTTTGTCAGACAAAGGAATTAGCTCTATTTCACAACAACAGGTGAAGGAATGGATAGCTCTAACTGTTCTGCCATAATGCAAAGTTACAATGATCAAATATGAATGGGTATGATTACCAAGATATTAGAAATACACAAGGGCCCCGTCCACAAAGCAATCTTAGTTACGATTACCTTAGCGATAAGATTGATATCACTCCCTGGAAGCAAGACTTGGCTTTTCAAATTGTTACACAGATTGTGAAGTATCACAAAACATTAAAGAAAGTTGACAACAGCAAGGATTTGGCTGTCAACATGAAACTAGAAAACAACCACAGATTTACAGGAACTACTTCCTCCACAACACATGCATTTACCAATGTGAGAGAGTTGGCCTTCAAAGTTGCTTTGAACACTATTCTAGTTCATTGAAAGACTGCATGAGCGGAAAGTCCCTTAAGTCAGCATTTATGCCAACAGGAACATTATTTCAACATTTCACAGTTTTATGTGACAGGAAGCCAAAAGTGAAGCAGGTCTTGTATGTTTACAACTTTGATGAAACTGATGATCACAGTTATTGTGCTGAGACAGAGACAGTGATCATAATCTATATGTCTCAAACATACAATCAGCAGATCCTATCATGATAAAAGGGCTACAACTCTGCAGTGCCTTACAAAGATAAGCCCTTGATGCAAGTGGAAATCGTAAAATTTGTAAGTATTAGTTTCATATTTGCAAAAGTTCTCATGAATCATGTGAAAACATTGAACATATTTTGTAAAAACAGCCAAATTTGACAAGAGACATAACAAGTGTACATGATGTCAAACTTGGGATGAATTGGTGGACAACTTGGTGTTTGGGATACAACTTTGTCACTTGTTGCAAAGTGGATGTCAAATAATGCTACAAATTGGAATCTTTCTTCCCAGAAGATCAGACGAGGAATGTCCCAGTGTTCCAACATGTGGTTTGCTGCATACAATAATACACTCTGGATGTAGAATAACAGTCATGTTCATCCATCTTAGATGTCTTCACTGACCACAGCATGGTCAAGACAGAGATGAAACATGAACACTTGGTCACTCATTGCTGAGGAATTGACATAAAAGGCCTGGCTAAACATGAACCAGTCAACATATTCAATAATCTTTGTGTTCTTCTGGTCAAGAAATTCTTGCTACATTCCAGATTTGGTGTAGTGTATTGAAGCAGGGATGCTGAGCAGATGATGCTGAGCAGATCAGGTACTTCACTTACCATGTTGGAATATCATCATCGCCAGGTTATGTTTCATTTTTCAAATCAGCATCAATATGATGCCTGTTTCAACATCAATATGATCTGACTTTATATCTAAAATGAATTTGGAGTTCAACAGTATTTGTATATCATGGCTTATCTTTGATTTTGGAGTGAAAATGGTTTTACAACTAAACAACAACTTTGAAACAATGCATTTGTTATGGAAGGCAATCTAATTGTTTCAATGTTTGAAAGCTTAATTTTCTTCAAGCATTTTCTGGAACAACTAAATTTTCATGATAAAATTTGAAGTTGGTGATTCACCAACCCCAAGAATATGAAACGATTGAATCTTTGGATGTACAACACTTTGGTGTAACCCATAATTATGGGTAGAGTGCTGAAACTGAATCAGTGTGAATCTGGGATTCAGTCCCATGATCACAGGATAAAGGGATACAACTCTGCCAACTGAATTGTGTTGACTTGGCCACCTATAGCCACATTAGGATAATTTCTAAATTTTAATTTTTTTTTAAAGTTTTAACACAGGACATGAGTGCTGATTCAGTTATGTGATGGGACAAAGTAAAAATCACAAAATTTAAAACTCAAGTTCAAACAAATTTGAAAAGTGAAGCAAAACAAATATTTGTGTTTTCAAAATCAGATTACAATCATCTTGTGAGATCCAAATCTACAAAATACACATAACCACGGGTGAAATAACCTTACAATATTTGTACACATTCCACATACCTTGAGAAACAGTTGTATTCTGGTAATGTGATTGCCTCATGGTTAACAAATAATTCCATGATTCAATTTTGCGTAATGTGAATTTCTTGAATTACATTTGGATTGAATGCACTGGGTGTTGCGTATGAGGCCAGGCTCTGGCTATAAAAGATGGAATTATCCCCCCTGGCAGCCATGCAAATTTGAATTTCACAGAATGGCTACCATGGAGAGTTATGACAACCATAAAACCTCCACCAAATGATATCGGAACTCAAAAAGCAATTTATGGCTTTTTAACACCAAGCACAAATTCCACAACATTTACACAATACTTCAATTTTCAGTCTCATTGTATCAAAGCATTAACACATATTTTTCCTTTGAATATAAAAATAACACTCAGATATTCAACCACTCGGGTCTTTACTAGCACCATAACATCACATGACGCACTGTAAAGAATTTGCAGGAAATTATAAGCTCAAAATTGACGACTTGACATTCCAATTCTGTAACAAGATGTCCACATAGCATTCACAAACGGTTCTATATCAGTGTACTGTTATCAAAACACCTATACGCACCCAGATTGGCTCATGACCTCAAATGTCCTCCATAACCCCGAGGTACAATGTTGGGATGTATGTCCTAATAATGAGGTAACAACTGGTGATTTTTGTTGGGACCATACCCCCAGCCGTCGAGATCTGACCAGGCAACTAGGTGCATGTATTGACATCAACTCAACCAAACAATGCCCCTAATAATTACACGCTGTCATGACAAAAGACCTTTTTATGCTGCAATAAACCCTACCCCCTGAAAATAAGCAGCATGATTTCAGCCACCCAGTAAATTCAATTTCATGGGTAATGGTAGGTGGGAATATGTTTTGTGTGCCCTACAGAAGCTTTTCATATCAATAATGCCTGCCCTTGTTACCTGTGAAACCAATCATATTACCATATCATCCTATGATGAGTATTATGATTGGTATTGATAGTATTTAATCTACAAGAATGATAAATACCATAACCCATCTGCCATTTCTAAATTCACCTCTGACTTACTATATTTAATGCAGACACAAGAAAATATAAACCCATGCAGTCTGCGACTTCAGCCAACAGCCAAAATCCAATGCGAGATGTTATGCTCCTTTTAGCACTATTCCATCAACACCACAGAGGGAAACATACACTGCAGGAAATGCACAGGTCTTCAGTGTATGGCTGAAGTCTTGAATCATGCTAGCCTGCTGTCCCATGGCTTCAGTCCATGATTTAACAAGTCAGTTTTCTCACTTCAAAGAGTCCAAAGCAATCTTGTGCTTGTATTGCCCATACCTTAACACACTTACTGCCAAGGTTGCTTTGTACAACTGCATCCAAATGTATAAGTGAGGTTACATGCTGCTTTAGCAATATTCCTGTATCATGGCAGGGACACCAGAAACTGGAGAACTGAACCAGGACCTTAGGTGAACACTTAAACCACCCCACCATCCTAGTCCATGTATCAAGTCACAAGTCTACTCATGATTCCAAGAGCTAGTAGCTTCAAAATTGTTTGGCACAGGCAGCAGGTTTAAAGTTCTATCTTTCCAGAAATACTGAAGAAATTGTCTCTTGATTCACATGCACGAATTCTATGTTATATTAGCTTGACAGCTCAAAAGCTGGGAAAAAATTTCATTTTATCGTTTTTAAAGTTCTATTCAATTCTCGTGAAAGATAAGAGTGAGTGAATGTAGTTTCCTGTCACAACTGGCCACATCACAGCTTTAACCAGGGCCACTGGCAGATGCATTCATCTTCATTTACTGGGTAGTACAACTTGAATAGTTCTTCAAGTTCAACAAGGTTATCGAGTCAGTGGTGCCAGTGTGTTTGTGTTAAAGTTAAACTGACATACATCTCCAACAAACTGCACATGTCTACATTTAGAACATATTCCTCTGGCAGGAGGTGGAACAAGGACAAAAACATTGTTTTGACAGTGATTAAAAAGAACAGTTTCTAGTTGTGAACTTGTTGTCAAGTCCTATCGCAATGTGCTGGCAAGGTCCAAATACACTGCAATCTCTGCACACTTAGGAGAGTGAATGTTGTTTTAAGTTACATTTACCATTATTCCACCTGTTACCCTCCCTAGATGACCCAGTGGTTGACAGAAAGAGCTGTGATCCATTCCCATGGTCACCATGACACAATGAACCAAGTTACATTTTGTGAGTGAGTGAGTGAGTTGAGTTTTACGCCACACTCAGCAATATTCCAGCTATATGGCGGCGGTCTGTAAATAATCGGATCTGGACCAGATAACCCAGGGATCAACAGCATGAACATCGATCTATGCAATTGGGATGCGATGACATGTGTCAACCCTGGTCAGTGAGCCTGACCACCCGATCCCGTTAGTTGCCTCTTATGACAAGCATGGGTTACTGAAGGTTCATTCTAACCCAGACCTTCACGGGTAGTTACATTTTGTAACCATGGGTGTTTTCAGCGATGACAGTTGCTTCAGCTATTCTGTGAGCTGTGTTCACAACCAAACAATTTCCATAGTTCGCCACATCATTTTGACATCTCACAAGGGGATAAGAAGATGCAGTATTCTGAAGAAGCATGACCTTGGTTCCCTCAGATGTAGATGTGACGAGGAAGTGATTTGGTTTGTGCCTATATTACACCTACATCAAGTTATCTTGTTATCGTGTGTATGAATGTGTGCTAGTTAGGTCTGCTAAATCTTGTTTTACTGTGCTAGTCCTGAGACAACATGCTAAAGTTTAACATGGGTACTCTTCACACATAGTATACGGACTCAAAATCAACCAGACCTTGTTTTATCCCCTTAATAACATGCACCAGGCAAGGTAACAAAAAGCACCATCTTTTCACATTTTTTTATATGATGTGGCAGAGCCTCCTGCTCCCTGGGCAGATGCTCTGTCCACTGGTAGCGAGTATGGTTTTATGCAATATTCCAGCAATAGCACAGCAGGGGACACCAGAAACAGGCTTCACTCATTGTACCCATGTGGGGAATTGAACCTGGGCATTTGGTGTGACGAGCGAATGCTTTTACCACTAGGCTACCCCACTGCTCCCTCAGTCGACTGGGCCACAGGTGCAGTCTCATGAACAGTGCTATACACCAACACAATATGATTACAATTTAGCAGGTGGCACACTGCAACCACCAAAACCACATCAGTCAACTCCTACACCAGGCAGGTGATACTGTGGAAAACTCTGCCCCAGAACAGTACAACTGTACAGAAGAAAACCAATATATCTCTTTCATTTTTTATCTTCACATCTGAATGAGGTGTTTTACCCTCTCCTAAACAACTCGTACAGTATAATGAGAAATGCCACTTTCATATCAACATGATCTTCTAAAGATGTCATTTTTGCATTGAAAACAGATAATTCAAATGGCTGGTAAACTGCAGTGCAAAGCCCACAATGATTCAAGTTTTTATCATTCCCTAACAAAGTGCAAACAAACAAAATGTTCAACTTCAACAGAGAACACAGTGCCATCGTAAACAATGTGCAGAAACTTGCAAGACGTATTTGAAACAAGAATATATAACAAATGTTAGAGATTTCAGGAAAACATCAACAGACCCTGCTCCAAAGATACATATAACCTGAAGCATGTGCTCACTGATTCCCCACCATGACAATAAACACAAGATCAGATGTCCAAACAAAGCAAACATGGACGGTCTCACTGCAAGTCCTTTAACAAGACCATCTTATACAAATCATAGGTGTCCTAATTTCATGCTCAATCTTACTCTTGTTCTATTCATTGTTCTCTGATGAACATGGGGAAAATGTCTTTTTCCAAAAATAACTTAAAATAATTTCAAAATTACATTTAATATTCATTAATCTCTTATAATTTTGAATTATTGATGACAAGTTCCATCCTTGAATACACCCTGGGCCCCATTAGCTTCTTTCCTTAAATGGTATCTCTCCCCCATCTCTATTGATGTTTCAACACAAAAAGTCTCTCTCATAACCTTGAAATCAACAACCAATCATAATTCCTAAAATGTACTGGGCATATAGTTTATTCAATAGAGGCTTTCACAAGAGTGAGTGAGTATGGTGATATGCCGCTTTTAGCAATATTCCAGCTATTATGGCAGGAGACACCAGAAATGGGCTTCAGACACTGTATCCATGTGGGGAATCAAACCTGGGTCTTCGGCGTGACGAGCAAAGGCTTTAACCACTGGACTACCCTACCACCACCCTTTCACAAGAAAGTCCATAACTGGACTCTCTAAGAAGCTGGGCCCAAGGCACACGAAAGCACGAAAAAGATACAAGGCATGAAAGAGAGAAGGTACAAAAGAAAGAAAGAAAGATTATGGTGAAAAGTACAAAAGCCAGTTACAATAACATCTGATAACGTGCTTTGCAGTACCAATTGTACATGAACAAACATCTCACCTTGCCTTATCTCTGTCATAAGAAAATGAAACAGAATCAAACTTAAGAAATAACTAAAATATAACAATGTACATGACACTAACGGTATACCCAGAGGCTCTGTAGCTCACTTTAATTCCTCATATCTGTACACATGTCAATACAATATGTAATAGCATCACATAACACATCCAAAAATATATTGCACAAAATGGTGAGAAGTTACACAGTCCATCTTGCTCTTGTACATGCCTTTTTAACTTTGGATTTTGTGAGTGAGTGAGTGAGCATGGTTTTACCCTGCTTTTAGCAATATTCCAGCAACATCACAGCAGAAATGGGCTTCACACATTGTACCCATGTGGGAAACAAACCCAGGTCTTCAGCGTGATGTGCGAATGCTTTAACCACAAGGCTACCCCACTGCCCCTTGGCTTTTGTGACCACATTATATAGTTTCAACAACAATTCATGCTAATATTAGTAGCTGCTGAAAATAAATAAACAAACATGAGATGAGGCAGGTGTTTTGATTGTGACATGCTTCCAACTAAAGGGGTTAATAACAAAGTTGTACCTAAGTTCCCACTGCTTGGCATGAACATGACTGGACATGTTTACACATATATTTTTTGTATATTGATAAACACCACACTCAATGTTCCAGTTACATTATGGCAGGCTGTCAATAAACAAGTTGGGACAGGACAAACCAGTGATGGATATTATGAACAAAAATCAAGGTAGTTGGGGTATATGGGGATCTCAATGGGATGGGAACCTTTTATACAGTGCATGAACCCAGTTTGTTTCCTTTGCAAGTGACAAATGGCATGGCAAACTGAAGAATTACTTGTTCAAACCACGGCAGCTTTTGTATAAACACAAAACTGACTTTCTTGAGACATTTCATTTCCAACTAAACAAACCCAGCTGTGACTGATTTTCCACCAGTCTGGCATACAGAACATATGTCGTTTTGTGGAGACTCGGCAAGTGGCCTCAGTGTTATGAGTGAGTGAGTGAGTGAGTTCAGTTTTACGCCGCTTTTAGCAATATTCCAGCAATATCACGGTGGGGGACACCAGAAATGGGCTTCACACACTGTACCCATGTGGGGAATGGAACCCAGGTCTTCAGCGTGACGATCGAACGCTTTAACCACTAGGCTTCCCCACCGCCCCCTCAGTGTTATGAAGGGTCCAGATAGGATACATTTCTGTAAGGTGTCACAATACACCCTCCTCACTTATCAATGTGATATCATAACATGATAGCTATACAGACACTCAGTGTATGCCATTCTGGTTGGAATTCTCCATGTTCCATATGGCCTGACCAGCAGCAGCTCATTGCATTCGACTTAAAAACTGGTTAATTCAGGATTCCTCTTGTAGGATTTTACAATCAGATGTGACATTTTCTTGTGCTATAGGCAGTAAGAAATCCTATCCTGATTAGTTTGACATCAAAACTATGATTTTTTAAATGTCAATACTGCCTTAGTGCACAAATCATTCTACTGGCAGGACTATAGTGTATCAGTTTTCAAGTATAATATATCAGTGGAATGTATCAGTGAATCCCATCACTGGTGCATATTTCTTTAAAAATATTTTTCATCTATCTATCATCTATAGATCCATATATTATATTGAAAAAATATCAGATCATGCTTTTTGCTGACAACTGTATCTTGATTGGATGAGATTAGAACGGACAGGAACGGTGTTGCATGTCAACAATGTGTTGATTATTAATAAGCAGTCATTGAAGTTATATGATTATATTTATCTTCAAGAAATAACTGCTATATGTTTTGAAGCATTTATACAGTATGCACACCAGTTTTACATTTAAACCTTCATTAAAAGCAAACAAAAGTCAATTCTCCAGTAAGCAGAAAAAATACCTCAAGTATATTTCTGTATTACTGTATATGACAACCAATCCTTCAGCATGAGAGTGAGTGAATAAGCTATCTATATCATCCCCATGAGTACAGATAAACCTGTGGTGATCCTGTGAGCTCACATGACCATCTGAACACACTACAGCAAGGCCCAAGTTGAGGTCTTCCCTCAGCCCCAATCAACTCAACAATCTCAGAACATGCCTTTAATGACCCCTTCACAAAGACATATCTGGTCATTAGTCTAGTGGAACAAAGCCCCGGTGTTTGGCCATGTCAGTATTAATGATATATGTTTCCTGACATGGCCATCTAATCCCCATTTTAGACACAGAGGAACCTGATGACTGATTTAGCACTTGATGTCTATAGAGGGAGAGGTAGTTGTGATATAGGAATTAGGGTGAGATAGGTGTCGCGGATAGGTCTGTAATGATACACTTTGTTGCGATATGATACTCATCTTGTTGGTACAGTTGCTATACAACGATTGATAGGAAACACTTTAACATGACACTTTGCATGTCACATTTCAATATTTAAGAACTTATTGGCAACCAAACAAAACACATCTTGTAGATTTAGATCATGTGATAAAACACTGGTTTGAAACATTTTGAACAAACAAGCAGAAAATAGTATTTCCCACTTTAGGTTCATAACATTTTCTTGTCACCATCAATTATGATAGTGCTGTTTTGTTGATATAGGACCAATTGCTGACATACTCATATTGTGACACAGAATATTGTGTTGCACAGTGGGTGATTCATTACTCCCCTCAACAGCCATGAACCTATGGTGATAAGCAAAATAAGCTGACTATTCATCAGGTAAGTTACACTTACAGAGGACGTAACTTCATTACACTGAAATACGAGTTACATTTCAAACGACTGACTGACTGAGTTTGGTTTTACGCCGCTTTTAGCAATATTCCAGCAACATCACGGCAGGGGACACCAGAAATGGGCTTCACACATTGTACCCATGTGGGGATTCAACCTCGGGTCTTCAGCAGATGATACGGTATGGACATGCGAAACAAATGATCAAAATGCAAATTCAACTTATAAATTTAACCATTAGGCTACCCCACTGCCCACATTTCAAATGAAGACTTTGATAAAAATGTTTTTGTGTACCATCTGAATGGTGTGACAGACTTTCAGAGTGACTATCAACAGGCTTACGTTGGGATAGTTTTAAGGAGTTACTGGCCTGGCCCTTGAAAGCTTGATTTCATTGCCCATAGCCATCTCCATCAAATTGAGATAAAACAGTAAGCACCAGGACCCATCAACCCAAACCCAGTATACACCAGGATCATCAGGACCCATCATATCCAGATAATACCATCAACAATCATGATCCATCATATCCAGATTCTACCATGACCAACAGGATCCAACTGGGACCCATCATACCCAACTTATACCATGACCATCAGAACCGATTTTGGACCCACCATATCAAGATTACACCATGACCATAAGCACCCATCTACACTCACCCTTACTAGTTTACACCATGAACAGAAGGATCCATCTGGACCCAACTATACCAGTCTACACTATGAGCATCTGGACCCAAGTGGATCCACCCTACACAGTGTGCACCTTTACTATAAGCAATCTGCACTGTACCCGGGGCACACAGTGTTGGTTTTGCACACGCATGAAATCACACCTTGTCTACCCAGTCTACACCCCACCATTTGCAGCACCCACCTTGACTGAGACTTAAGTAGGTGCACCAGATTCTGCAGGAGGGGCACACAGTGTTGGTTCTGCACACCCCCACATGCCTCCACGCCCTCCCAGAAGTGGCCCACCAGAGACTGCAGCGGTGTAATCAGCTCATCCTTCAACTCCCACGAGATCCATAAGGCAGTCTGCAAAACAATACAAACCAATAAGCAAATATTTACACAATTTCAGCAACTGAAGCCTGAATCTAATAAAATTTGTTCCAATATTGTTATCGTAGCTTAAAGTCATTAATATTCAGACTGAAAGCTACAGAATCACTGAACAGGCTAGTGGACTCAAAAATTGAATGCAGCACTCCAAGACATCTTGAAATCCATGCTTCTTTATGGTTTATGCTACAGCAAAGTGTATGAACTCAACTAATGCTAAATAACTGTGGTTAATGATCTCCCTTAGTCCTTGTTTATTAAACAGCTCCAAACATAACTAGAATCCAGTTACAAAAAAACTGTCCCTGCACATCTGCATTCAACCACTTCAAGCTGGAAATTCAAATTTGTTTTATTCCCTGAATGCATGCATGCAGTTCTCATTATCCTGTCAAATGCAGGTGTAATGCATTCTGTGAGAGTGTGTACAATGCACAACATGTATGTAGGCTGTGTGCATGAGACAGATGATCATACTTCTGCAGGAAATATTACAATGTCATACCCATGTCACGTTTAGTCATACAGGCTGTCTTCATACTAACCTGAGATGAAACAAGCAAATGTAATTACAAGTTTTGCAGATCTGCCTGTCATCTAACAGACATTTAAACGAAAGGGATTCTCTTTTTTCAAAATTAGAATCTCAAACGAGTGTTTTCCAAGATCAAACAGATCAAGAAGTATTGATAAGGCAGTTGGAGGATATTCTTACTTCTATCATCAAGACTTGACATATTTGAGCAAGAAAGATATGATGGTGAGATTTTATTCATCTGAAATCAGTCTCCCAACATTTTCAATCGGTAAGCCATAATAACCAGTGTCGTGATTCTAAAAGTTCAGTAACCAGCTTCAGGGATAAAGACTGACTGACTGAGTTTGGTTTTATGCCACTTTTAGCAATATTCCAGCAACATCACGGCAGGGGACACCAGAAATGGGCTTCACACATTGTACCCATGTGGGGATTCGAACCCGGGTCTTCAGCGTGACAAGCCAACGCTGTAACCATTAGGATAAAGAGCATAGTGATGTCAATTGATTGTGATGGCGATAGAGGGAGTTATACAGATATGGCAAAATAAATGTAGTCAATGGTATTTTCGTCATTTCTAAGTGAGTTTTATTGTTACTTTGTTCACTGACCAAGTTTTGAGCATGGATGGATTGTTCAATGTCCCCCGCAGCTAAAGAAGAATGAAATATTTACAACATATTTACTACTTTTTATTTTTTGGTCACATACAAGAAATGACTAGTGTCTGCATAATCACCCAATGTAGGTTGTATTGAATAATTGAAGACATTGGGTGCAATGTTTTATGAGAGATTGCGTTTACATAAGTTTGAAAAGTAGCCAAAGTGTCATGATGACCTTGAAGATAAGGTCAAGGTCACCAAAATCACCAACTTTGAAGACATTGGGTACAACAGTTCATGAGATATCATTTTAACAAGAATCGGGATGTACGTACGCATATGGACGCTGCTGAATACAATCAGGAGGGAGCGAGTGAATATGGTTTTACACCACTTTTAGCAGTAATGTGGCGGGGGACACTGGAAACAGTAATCGAATCCAGGTCTTCGGCGTGACGAGCAAATGCTTTAACCACTAGGCTACCCCACCACCCCTGTTCAATGTTAAAAAGTCATGGGTGTTAACAGTTTGTTTAACGATCCAGAGTCACAGGTATGAATAGTCTGTTGAACATCTCCAAACCATGTATGAAAAATAGTATATTCAACATTCAGAATTCAGGTGTATGAATAGCTTGTTGAACAAGCCAAAGCCATTGATATAAACAGTTAAATGATCTGAAGCCATGGGTATGAATGGTCTGTTGAAGTCCAAGCAATGGCTATAAACTGTTCATCCACACACGCCAGTTGAACAATCACAATTCATGGCTATAAGCAGACAGTTCCACTACAAGTAATGGACATATAGAGATAGTTCATGGATATCAACAGTTCAACAGCCCCAACAACCACAGTGATGTAAGGATGTGTTCTGGACATGTGCTGGCAATCCTGCTGCCATGTCAGGGTTTGGCAACTGTAGTAATGTGCAACAGTGAGCGGTATGGTTGTGTTCCAACTCTGTAAATTGGCAGCATAGCATAGAGGTGGATCTATAGCCTGTTTGACAGATGCTTAACACAGCCAGTCAAAATAGCAACTCGCTTACAGCAACTTCCTCCCTCGATTCTCACACATCTTCACAGCCTCAAACATGCAGAGCGCAGGCTTTCCTAGTCTCACATCATAAACACAAACAAATATGGTACTTAATAGACCAAGTCAACAAAATTAAGTTAAAAAACCTGCTTCAGTGCTTGTTCTGGAAATATTTATCACCTGCAAGTCAAAACAAATTTGCAAAGGTGTAATTTATGATCTTCCAAAACAACTCAAACTGTACGATGACGTTTCTTGTAACAAGTCTTTGATCCACAGTGTATCAAATTCAACAACAGAATCTGATGCGAACAAACAGATGGAAGCAGTAAGCTATTGGCATTGGATACAAATTGTTTTTAAGGGCAAGGCCAACGATGGGCAGTACATTACTTACTGGAATAAATTAGGGATGGCAATAAAACGTAAACAGTACCAGATCAAAGGGTCAGAGTTGACATAAATTTTCTTAAAATATTCTTTTAACACACTAAAAGTTTATGTGATTATTGACTTTGTAAAAAATGTATCAATATTCACTTCAACTAATGGTAAATCTCTTGCATGAAACTGTATTAAAGGAATTTTTTGGGTAACATATATTTTAACATATAACAGTAGCTCTAGGAATCTCTTAATTTTCAGAAACTGAAATTCAGACTTGCAAATGTATTGGCTACTTGCTTGTGTGTTCTAAGATTTGTTTCAGGATCTGAAGGAAATAACAATATTGGTAACTTTTTGTTTGTATCAACAGCATTTATCTCAGCCTAAGAGTGAGTGAGTTTGGATTTATCGCCACTTTGAACAGTACTCCCAATATATCATGGCACAGGGGAAAAGTCCAAAGTTGCAAAAGTTGACAATATTTTCTATATCATAAGCAGGGATGGGCGATAATACCGGTTAACCGGTATATTGCAATTCGAACTTCACAATACGATATATTGCAGTACACTTTTCGCGAACCGGTTCACCCGATACAATCGGCAATTTCCGTGACCATGATCGGTAATTTTCGTGATGTAGTCAAAAATACTAATAACATTTCTATATCCTTTATATTATGATACACAAATAGTTTTGAGAATGTTTAATGGTCATATAATTGCATTTGCGTGATTTTTAAACCATATAAATCCTGACAGTGGCCAGTGGCATTGTTTCAAAAGAAAGGAATCAGTAATTTCATTACCTTAAACCATGTGTTACACTTTCACAACATATTGCAACATACCAACACATATCACAATATAACGCAATATGAAAATTATGGCAATACCTAACCCTAATAAGTGAATCATAAACTATGAAAATGGGGCAGTTATATGGGATACAGAGTTTGGGTACCATTGCTCAGGGATTGAGAGTTAGCCTTTTTCTTAAATATGTATGTGAGTGTTACATTGTGTGCTTGGGCACATGATGACAAGTTGTCAGTCAGGTCATACACTTACGACCACCTGGTTCTCAAGTCGACTCTTCCCTTCACACCCCTGTACACCCTGCACATCCTTTCATTCCCCCTCAGCAGCCTGGTGTAACAGTATCTTGCTTTACAATTTTACCACTGTACAGGGCAGAAACATGCATTGTCTGAGACAAAATGAGCACTCATCACTCAAACCATCTCAGAATAACAGTGTTCAAAATAGAGTCCATCTGCCAGCATCTAAAACTGGAACTTCTTATAAGAACAGGCAACCTGAAAATTTGACTTTTCACATCAATAACAGGAAGCAAAAGGGGCTGGGACCAATCTTCTGCCCAGAATAAACCCCAAACCTGGTTGGCTGACTGAAGTAGCATACTGTGTTTGCTGGAATATGTGCACTGCTCCAAAAGTTCTGCAGCTATCTCAGTATCTGTAATTAATCTTTATGTGCCCCTTACTAAGCTTGAAAATTTATGGAACAGTCCATATTTTTGTGTGTCATACTTTTTCACAGAAGACACTAGTGGAGAAGGGGAACGCTATTGCCTTAAAGCTGTATGAAATGTCTCAGTTTCTGCAAAATGTAAACCAAGTTTTCTTTCAACAACTTGATCTCTGAAAACAAATTTTATTTATTGTCTATGGTTTCACAAGTCAGCCCGTCTTTGTCAATTTTCTAAGCATCCAATGTGCTTATTCAGCAAATACAGTAAATAATGTTAGTTACAGAGGCAGGGCAAGGCAGGGTATTCTTCTGCTACCAGGCACCAACTGTAACTCTAGAGCATGACAAGTCTGAGGGGTCAGCACCTATCGGTCAGGTCAGGGTGTAAGCAATGGTCAGTGTATCAGTGCTTGGAACTGACCATGAGGAAAGGTTCACCTCAAACACCCCCCATCCCCCAATAATAAAACAAATCGAGGTAATGTACTTACTTTGGTTTGAAACTTTCAACAAAAATTTAAAAAATTGGCTAAAAGGTTAATGTGCTTCAATTACTACTTGCAATCTATCTCTTTTGCTTTTTTCAAGATCAGTTCATATTCTTCTTACAAGTTTCATGCTAATTTAACTCAACATTCATAAGGAGCCCTCTGGAAACAATGTACCTGTAAGGTACAGTTAAGAAAAACTATTACTATCCTCCTTAATAATCAACTGATGGAGAGAGCACTTTTATTAAGCCAAATTCATCAAGTGGTATCAACATCTAAAAAAATTATTTCATATTATCAACAGAGTCATACAGAACAATACAGTTGGTATTTTTATGTAAGAAGAATGTCAGTGTGTAATAATTTGTAGTGAGACAAAAGATAAGTAATAGCGTTCAGAACCACCGACATTTTAGTG